ATAGCTGCATTCGTCACAAGTGGGAAAAATTTAAATCTGCATGGCACTTTACTCCAATTGGCTCATTCGCTTGCTTAAACTCAACGTTGATTCTGATTACGCAGAACTGGGTTGGGTGTGAAAAAGTATTTGTTGTTAACATTCTTTTTTCATTCGGTTTTTCCAGTTACGAGTCCTTTTTTAAAGCTGATCGTTTTGTGTTCATTTTGTTTAGTTCTTTTTTCGTAACAGATTAATGTTTAGTATAGAGCTTAGAAAAAATTAGCAGTGTGAGATAGGCAAGAAGTAAGGCATGTAGCAACATCAGCACGGCAAAGGGAACTCCTTTAAAGGCAAGGAAGGGCAAAAATATTTTAAGTCAAGTGATAACGATTGCTGTATGAGTCGTACGATTTTTTAATCAAGCACGGGCAACGCCGGGCCATGCTGCTAGTATATATATATATATATATATATATATATATATATATATATATATATATATAATTGTATTGTTTAAAATTTGCTATATTGTTGGAGAAATAGTACATAATATCGGGTGTAAAGAGATAAATAGTGTGGACATAGAAATCAATACTGCGTGGCGACTCTCAGTTTTATGTTTTACGCTTGCCAGATCATGGTTTGATGAATCCAGCCGTGAAACTGTCAGTTACAATGCAGTGTTGATTTCTTTATCGACTCTTTTCATATGCATGTATGTTTGTAAAAACTGAAACATTATTCCTTTAAATTGTGAAGGTCATATCAAATAACAAAGATGACAAGGAAAAACATATTTTTTTAGGATTAAAAAGAGAGAAAAGAATGCAAGATATCCGACAAAAGAAGTTCAGGGTTACGATTTTCAATAGAATCATTTGCGTCACGAAATACTCTCGCGTTAAGTACATTTTACAGGGTTTTTCTTTCATATGTTTGGCAAACATCCAAAAGTGGTTTGCAGTTGAATACTCGTAAACAGACATTGGAATATTTCATTTGGCGTCGTTTTACAAATTCTTTGCGAAGATTTATTCGCTAAAATTTTCTAACTAAAAAAATAAGAAAAGAAAAGTAAAGAAAGAAGTCCTAAATTTTTTTACAGTAAGGTTCACACTGTAGAAGACCCGAGGACCACTCGATGTAGAGGGTTACGTTAAGGCGCAGTTTATACAGATAGGCTAGGAAGATGATTAATTCTAGACTTGAACACGTTAAGATTATAGTGATCGGGGAAGCATCCTCTTGGGAGTCTGTTCCGCAGGGCAGTAGTTCGTGGTATTTTATAAACGTGTATGGATAGTTTAAGAGTTACTTTTTGTTTATAATTCATAGGGGACATTTTCACTTAATTATAATATACAAAAAATAACCTTTCAGTTAAAAAAATAAAATAAAATTCAGTTAGCCAATCAAGAAACATAATCATTTGACAAATTGATTGATTCGTTTTTTTTACGGCTTATCAACACTTTGCGAGTTATTTAAACCCAGAAAATATTTTGTGAGTAATGAAAAGGTTCTAAAGGAAATAGCATTTAAAAGGACATATGTTGAGAATCAGAAAATAAACAACTGAAATTTCTGGGACACATTATGAGAAAAAGAGGGCTTGGAAAATTAAAATTTCCTACCATTTATTTTACAGACGGTTAAATTTATTCAAGATCAAATACACCAGGATTTTGTTTTTAGTGGAATATTAAAAAAATCAAAACGAATACTATTATTCAGGGTCTAACAATGCAGTGTTGTAACTCTGTCACCAAAGATATTCAGACACTCCTATGGATAAGGTTTATTTAAAAATCAATATTTTGAAGAAACTCGAAGTGACAGAAATATAGTACAGGTGTTGCTGAGAATACCATGAACTGTACATGTGAGAAACGAGAAAGTTTTTAAGAAAATGGAAACTAAAAAATGCAAGGGGTTACTTAGTGTTAAAGAATATAAGAAAAAAAATACTAAGGAAAGAGAACAGTAAAAGAAATGGAATTAAGAAAACAAAAGATAACGATGGACATCACATTTAAATTTTTGGAGATGAAAGTTGACTGGAAAACTAGAAGCCACAAGCGAGAATTGCGAGATAAGAAACTGTTAGCATCAAATCTTAAGGTTGCATCTAACCATTTCAACTATACAATGATGAGACTTAACTTCCCAACTAGTACTACGCTTAAATTCGTAAAGTCGAGATACCAAAGAGGAAAGCACATAAAAATAATTACCATGAAAATATTTATAGAAAAGGCATAAGAAAGTTACGTTACGCCGGTTGGAAAGTGACTGAAGCGGAGATGTTGGGTCAGGACCGATAATATTGCAAATTTTTCTTTGCATTTTATTAGGAATCTCTAAATACATAGCAGAAGCATCAGACCAGATGTGGCAGCAATATTCAATGCACGGACGAATGGTAGACTTATAAATATGTAAGATTGAGTCTGGCAAGAAAAATTGTCTAGCTTAAACTTAAAATTGGAAACAGACACTTGGAATTTCTTGGATATACGAGGAAAGAATACTTGGAGAATTTGACACTAATATCACATATATAGGGCAAGGGAAGTATAAAGGAAACAGCGAGTATCCTACTTAATAGGTTTCGATGAATGCATGGAAAGGCGAGGACAAAGAGAGATGGCAAATAGTAAAACGTTGCTTAGAGCCACAAAAGACACGAAGTGGTCGATAGTCATTTTTACTCAGTTCCTGAAAGGACACGTCCAGGGTTGGGTTAACCATTAAGCAAAACTAAGCACGTGCTTAGGGCATCAAGGGAAGAGGGCCCCACTGAAATTGTAATGATTTTGTTGTATATGTCTAAAGAAATAAGTCAAATATGATTAACATTTAAATCAACGGGGTGCCATTATGAACAAGGAGACAACTGACCCGCAGTGAATCTTTATTGCTATTATGATTGGTTTATAAGGGAATGAGCTAAGGGAGATAATGAGGTTTTTATTTACTCAATTCATCACATTAGCTCTCTTTAATAAGTTTGCATTACTAATTAACTTAATGGGATTTAATTTTTGTGAACAGAGGTAGACTACCTTCATGTTCGTTTGACATTATGCTAACCATATGTTTATGTGACACACTGGTTTGTTGATTACACGACCAGAATCTGGTTGTTGCTCACGTGACAATGGCTGCTCAACTGTGATTGGTTCTTTCTTGGTTGATGTTGTTCTGGGTTGGAACTGATGATCAGCCTCTCTCGATGGTCATATGCGCCTTCAGTTCCTTCTATATTTATTTCCAACTAGTGTTTCCACGTTGCATGTTCTAGGTTGATATCCTTTATTTGCACTGCTCACCAAGACTCCATCTAGCATACTTAACTCGCAGATGTATGGGGACCCGAAAATCTTTTAAGTGCTTGGGCCCCTTATGGGTCTTAATCCGGCCCTGGACACGGCATATAAAAGAAGATTATCTTGTGTTTTTCACTGATGAGAAAATGACCGGCTTCAAAATTAATACTATCCTAAATAATCTTGTCGATTCTAACAGCTGAATAATTTTAGCTTTTGTTCGGATTTTAAGTTCTTTCAGTTTTATTGCAAAGGTCTTTGAAATCATTTCAAGTATTACAATAATTACGGGTACAGTTATCATTTTCATATTTTCCCAATGTTTTTCGTTCTCCGGAAACGTTCTGATCTTTATTCGTTTTTTCATTCTTCCACATTCAATCCGTGATTATGACATCCATTGCGATTAATTTTCTTTAAT